GGCCCCGGGGGGCGGCAGGGAGAAGGCCCGACAGCAGCCGGTCCCTCAGTGTCCAGTCGGCCAGCGCTGTGTACGGGCCCTCCGGGGCAGCCCCAGCCCTGGCCACAGCCCCGGGAAGCACTGCCCGGGGGGAGGCAGGAGGGGAGTCCAGGGGCTGAAGGAGAGATGAGGGCGGGCAGGGCCGGATGTCCCTGTAATCTGGGGGTGGAGCAGAAGCAGGCTCCTCCAAAGGGGGCCAGTCACCATCCACATTCATCTCCCTGAAGAAGGGCAGGCTCAGGTACTGGAGCAGGGATCCGGTTCCTGGCAGGGGACTGGGCGGGGCGGCGGGAGAGGGCCCCACGGGGCTGATGTCTGTAATGCAGAGGGGCTGGGGCAGCCCTGTGGGGCTGCTGCTGCTGCAGTCATAGGACCTGGCCTGGTGCCGGGCTGGGGTCCGAGGTTCAGCCTGCTCAGGGCCTGACCTTTCTTGGGGGGTCCCCACGTTGGGTCCCAACACAAAGCGCCCATCTGGTCCCCGGCAAATGGGCTCCAGGGGCAAGGGCCCCTGGCTCGGTGGAGGGTCTGGAGGGGAGCTGGGGGTTCTGGCAGGCTCCCCGCAGAGTAGGCTCTGGCGCAGGCTGGGGGCTGGGGAACCCCGGAGCTTCAGCTTGGCCACGCTGTCAGGACTGCCCGAGCCTGGAGCAGAGCTGGGGAAGGACAGGTCAGGGCCTGCGGTAAGGGCCAGTCCCCGTCCCAGGAGCCATGGTTGGGCCTGGAGGGGTTTGGTACACAGCAGAGCAGAGCTAGGAAAGTAAGTGAGCAAGGACCCACATGGAGGTGCAGGGAGGCTCAGGCAACCCTGGACCACCCCCAGGCTGGGCTCTGCATCCCATCCTCACCTCTCACAGCTCCTACCCCGGGTACAGGAAAGGAGCAGAGGATAGGGGCCCACTGGGGGGGGGGGGGCGCGCAGAAGGAGGCCCAGAGGAGGAAGGACTTACAGTGGAGATGACAACCGGGGTGGAGAGAAGAGAAGAGGTGGATCTGTAAGGGCAGGAGAACCAGAGGTGACACAGGCAAACCAAGGCTCTCCAGGGCCCAGGCACAGACCTCACCCCATCCGGCTGGGAACAGTGTAGGCCAGGCTGGGTGCAGGAAGGGTGCTGGGTGCAGGCTTTCCTCCAAGTAAGAGGCGCTGACTAAGGGGGGCTGGCCCTACCTTGGAGGGGGGTGCTGAG